CCCCGCCTCCCGGCCGCCCGCAGGACGGTCCCGTCCTTCTATAGAAACTTACAGCGTGAAAACGGAGCCAAAGGAAGATGTAGTTGGGGTCACAGCAGGTATCCCCCATCTTCTACTTCACAAGGTGTCATAAAAAACGGAAGGAAGAGTATTTTCTACGGGGCGAGAACCCGCGAAGAACCTGCGGAGCCGGCGTTTGTGCCCGGGGAGGCTGTAGAGGCGTCCTTGGTAGGAGCGAGCTGAGGCCAGAGAGGGCCTTCAGCTTCTTCCAGGACACACAGCTAAGTCACGACTGGCTCCAGCAAACCCCGCTTCTCTTGCCAGCATCCATAGCTTTTTCTGTCTTAAAATTTTTTAAGAATACTCAATTCTGTGAAATGCCTCTTATTTTGTGAAACCTGGAAAATTTTAACAAGTTGACGTTGGTTTCTGAGTAGAATCAGGGTGGGCCTGTTGTGTGTGTGTGTGTGTGAGTGTGTGCCTGCCTAAACACATAGGAAATTGCACTTTTTTCTTAGTTCCTGAAATACATGTGTATATGTTCCTAGAGGTGTGACAGTTAAATTAGAAAGAAAGCCTGTCATCTTTGCCTGAGAAACCACTGACAACTCTCAAAAGGTTGTCGGCTGCCACCTGGCTTAGTCCACTTATGACTCATCCGTCCGTTGTCAACTTCTTTATCTTATGCTGTGTTCCTTGGACTATTGATTTCTCCCTGTCTTAACTGCCTAATTAAAATTACTAGTTAGGATTGCACTATCAAAGCACAAGGTATGAGACATCTGATTGCAGACCACTGGCAGTTCTGCTGGCCAGTCAGTTGAATGGCACACAGTTGTGCTCTGTGCTGAAACGGAGCCACGGAAACCAAAGGCACAGAAAGAGCAGATACACCTATGGGAGACTCTGAAACAATTTAGTCTTCCAACGAGAAGGCGGTTGGCAGTTCAGATTTCATGCCTGAGAATTTGTCCAGGACCATAGAAGTGAGGTCCTGGGGTTGTGGAGCAATGGCTAGAGCTTTTTGGGGGATATTGCTATGAGATAGTGTATATGAAGATGTCTCGTGTACCTGATGATTGTACCTTTCCTCAAACCAGCAGAAACAGCTAACAGTGCTTACCTTACCTTTTCAATGGCATTAAGTGACTCAGCTCCTCTTGCTAACATCATTTTCTCTTCTGTTACAGGGCTCTTTTGTAGAACTATCTCTTGGAATGATATTTTCATAATGAGTCAACAAGGTTATGTGGCGACACCCCCCTATTCTCAGTCTCAGTCTGGGATGGGCCTTTCTGCACCGCATTATGGCCACTATGGGGACCCATCTCACACAGGCGCTCCACCAGGTAAAGTGCATTGTTCTTTCTTGTATATGATTGTTGGCTTCTTAGGCTCAGAAGCATGCGATTTCCTAAAAGAGTGGCTTTGGGAGTGTGCAATGGCCATTGTATGATGCAGTGGCTTGAGATTATAGGGTCACTTGGAGAAGGCTCTCCGGAAAGAAGCCTACATCATCAGTTTGGTTATTGCATGGAATAAATGAGTTTGGTTTTTAAACATAGGTTTAACAAAGAAGCTTCCTGAGTGTTTTATTTTAGACTTGCTTTTTTAATCAGTGGTGTGATGTTATTGTAAACACTCAATAAAAAGCAATTTTTATATCTCTCTCTATATATGTATATATACTAAAGTGGATTTGTCAATAATATTATAAAATTAGTTTTTATATTGGGAAAATATCATTAGATTTGCAGACTAAAGGTTACTCAATGATAATAGCAAGATAAACATGGCCTTGCCTTGAAATTATTACTGAACAATATTGGTTGCTTTGAAATGTTATACCCAGCAGGGAATCTTGGCTTTAGGGGCAAAAGTGGGGGGATAGGAGTAATGGAGTGGGACTACTGTAGCTCTGGTCGCAGTTAACACTATGAAGCCACCTCCCTTCATCAAGGGCTTGCCCTGAGAGACCAGGCTTCAGAGTCAGGAGTGAGGCTAACAACAGCTTTTTTCAGGGCTGATGGTCTCAAATTCCCTGGAAATATTTGTGTAAGACAGTTCTTGGGGCTTCTGAGAGAATGCTGAGGAGTTTGACTCGGACCCTTGGTGGTAATGGGCTGTGTATATATCACTGAGTGTCTCTGGGGCTCACGAGGTCTGACTCAGACATGTTGGGTCCAGGCTGTGCTGGGTATGATAGCAGGATACTGAGTGCGGAGTCACTGAGGGGCGAGGAGCCCTGCACGGAGGCCCATGGTAGCAACCACACACAGTTTGCTGCAAAAGGAGCCCTGAGACTGAATTTCCTGTGAAAAACCACCCTTATGATTAGTCCACCTCTAATTTTTAAAAACCTCTGTTGAGGCATCCTTGTCTTATCCAAGACCCATCCTCCCCACAGCATTTATAGTCTTGTCTCTGGATCCTTTAGGAACCGTTAATCCATCTTGCTCAAGTTTCTCTCCATCTAGTGGTTTATTACCCCTCAGGTTTATGTATAATGATAGTTAAATAAATTACTCTTTTTTGAGTGTTCACCAAGTATCAAAAACTGGTCCTAAAAACTTTACATGCATTATCTTATTTAATGTCCATTCAATGCTATGCAGCATCCATGGCATCTACCCATCAGACACCAGTGCTCACCCTCCACTCATCCCTCAGCTGTGGCAACCAAAATCCCTGGTTGCAGCTAAGAAAACTGAGTGTCTGGTATACTGTGACTTGTCCAAGGTCACAGACCTGGTAATGTAGCCAGGATTTGTACCCAGGGCCCTCAAGAGCACAACAGCAAACTCCAGTGCACACCTAAGTGTGACACTTGGCATTACCCTCCTTCTTTCCTCTCACCACAGCCATCTTCTTAAACAAGTGCTCACTCAGGAACTCTCCACCCTTGCCTCTCAGTCCCTGGTAGCTCAGTGTCCTTGCCACTCCATAGCCTGGGCCTCATCCACTGTTCCCTTCTCCCACCAGGTCATCGGTGGCCTCTGATTCCAGAATGCAGTAGACACTCTTCTATCCACTTTTGAATCTGACACTGCTTATTGCTTTTGTTTGTTCAGAACCTTCTTCTCTTGTGGTTTCAATGACACTATCCTTTGTTATATTTCCTGGTGGCTTTCTGGACATATCTTTCTAAGGAGCCACACTTCTTCTACATGACCATTAAGTGTTGCTGTTTCTCCTTTGTTCTAGCTTTACCCTCTTTCCTTTTGCTCTGTGGGTTTTTCCCTAAACTGTGTCATTCCATGTGAAGAGCTGTTTCTCAGATCTATTTTTTCAGCTCATAGGTCTCTCCTGCACTCCACACCATGCTTTCCGTTGCCCACCCGTTGACATAGGCACATGACACTCATGTCCAAAACAATTCATGATTTTTTTTTTTATAGAACTCATTTTTTTTCTGGCATTCTATATCTCATTCAGTGGCAGCGTCTTTCATTCTTTCAAATTAGAAACTTTCACTATTAAAAAAAAATCTCTCCCCTTTACCTTCTCCAACCCAATTGGTCTCCCAAAGTCTTCTAGATAATTGTCAACATCTTTCCCACCTGCTTCCTCCTGTCCTGCCACTCTTCCTGTGCAGCCATCCATTCCATTACTAAAATGTCCTCTTAATTATCATCTTCTCCAGTACTGCCTTTCTCCAGATCATCAAGTCCTGGGCTGCAGTGATTTTATACCAAATCCAATTCTGACTTCCTTGGGCTTAAAACCTTTTATGGCTTCCCATTGCCCCTGATTAGATTGTAAGCTCCCTAGGCCTTCATTAGTTTGCCCATTTTCTTTTTTTCAGTTCACCTGCCCCATTCCCATACCTGTCACTCCAGTAACACTAAGCTATTAGTCGTGTGGAGGATGGTTTGCACATGTACCCTGTCTTGCACTCCATTCTACCAGAAAGCCAGGCTAGGCTACCACCTTGTCCCCAGTAGGGTCTGCCCTCAGGCCCCGTCTTCGGACCGTTCAGGTGTGGTGCCTGCAGGCATTTCTGCCCAGGATCCTTCCTCCAGCTTATTTATGAATCCTCTGCCACTCCTATGTTCTCCTGACACCTGTGCTATTCTGCCATTTCCTGTGCTGCGTGGTAACAGATGAGCCTGGCTCAGAGAGAGCAGTCATTAGCTGTTCATTCAATGAGCAGGAGAGTGACAAGCTGCTGCACTCATCAGCCAAACACTCTGTGTTAACCAATATTACAAAAATGGACTCTGTTGGGTCAAATTCTTCCGGCTTTAACTCTTTCTCCTGATTCAACTTTTAGGTGGTTACCAAACTGTCAGACTCTGTACATACACCTTTCTGTAAATTGTGGTATTTTTGTTTAATGATTTAGCCTAGCCTGTATTTCTTTGTGCTTAATGACCTTAGAGCTCTTCATCTTTGGGCATCACAGGCCGCCTTTTCTGGTCTTTTGGTGATGCTGTTGGTTTTCTGACAGACACAGACAGCCTGGTTGTGATTTCCTGAAGCATATTTCCCCGTAGATCTGGCAGTGCGACTCTTGGTGTGGTTCCTCTCTATGTGCCTCTCTCTGTGCCTTGTGTAATGCCAGTGCTCTGCATACCTAGTGGAACAGACTTACTGAGTGAATAGTATGCTGTGACGATGTCGTGATGAATACAACACACCTGACCTCAGTCCTGTACACTTTCAAGTGGGACATGCATTCAGTGGGTGGACAGGTGGGGAGGCATCTTGTGGGTGGGGAGGTGACATGTCAGAGGACCTGCGGGAGGGTCAGCCAGGCTGGGATGTCGAGTGGAGCAGTGAGAGGTGCCTAGAGTGGAAATGGGGCCAGCTGAAGGCTTTATTTCGGGTTTATTTTAAGGGCAGTGCATGCCCAAAGCATTTTAAGCTGGGAAGGGGGGTCAGGTCCCGTGTATATTTCAGGAAGAGTTACACTCTGCCTTAGAAGGGGTGGAGGAGGAGCAGCTGGTCGCACTGCTTTCAGGAGCAGCTTTCTCATCCTCAGCACTTTGGAAACTCAGGGCCTCTAATTCTTTGCTGTGGGAGGCTATGCTGTGCTGTGCATTGTAGGACATTTAGCAGCATCCATGGCATCTACCCATCAGACACCAGTGCTCGCCCTCCACTTATCCCCCAGCTGTGGCAACCAAAATCCCTGGACATTGCCAAATGTCCCTTCAGGGGCAATACCACCCCTGGCTGAGGACTGCTTGTCTGGAAGCCAAGAGGCAAGAACTGTGGGCCAGGCTGGGGCTGGAGCTGGGGCTGGTGAGGCCTAACAAAGGTACACCACCCCGTATAGTGCCTTGGGAGCAGCAGTCATTACAAGTCTGCTTCTGCCTATATCAGGTGAGCTTATCTTTGTTTATTCTAGATACACGTTTTTTTCAGTAATGGTTTTTAATTTTGGCTTTAGTTTGTCAGATCCAGGGCCAAATCCAAGGCATGCTTTTCTGCGATATTTTGGTTGGGTTTCTTTGCTGATAACAGAAACCACTGTCACAGAAGGGATTTGTTAACGGCATTAGGAAACTTTGAGAATATTAGAAGGAGCCAGAGAACCAGGCTTGGCACCCCTGTGGGACCAGTCCATCAGCAGTCACTGCCTGTCTCCCCCAGAACCACATCTCTGCCTGGGCCAGGGCCCCCCAGCAGCCACTGCCTCTTTCCCCTAGAACACATCTCTCTCTGGGCCAGAGCTCCCACAGCAGCCACTGCCTCTCTTCCCCAGAACCACATCTCTGCGTGGGCCAGAGCCCCCAGAGCTATGTGGCTTTGCTGAATTTAGAACACATGGCAACCTAGTTTGTAAGGGAGTTATGGAAAGGCCAGCCAGAGAGGAACTGGAATTGGTAGTGAGCCAGTCTATGGTATCTGTCCCTGTATGAAAGGCCAGTTCATGATTTTGATACTTCCTTTTGGCATAAGTATCTTTGATTCTTTTGCATGGTCTGATTTTCCTTTCCTTTTAAAATTCTCATACTGCTCTATAAAGAACCTGGTTTCTCTTATAACTCTGATCACTTTTAAATGCTAGAAGACTGTGTCTTTATAGATAACGCTGATACTGCCCTCCCTTTGCCCTGAGGATAAAGTCCAAAAGCACACAGGACTTTGTAGTCTGACCCCAGCCAATCTGGACAACCTCTGCTCTGGCTCTTCTCACGTCTACATGATGCCTAACAAGTCCTGGTCACGCCATGCTATCTCCCGCTTCTGCTCCAGCTCTGCTTCTGCCTGGATCCCCTCTCCTGTCTACATTAAGAAAACTCCTGCTTCTCTTTCAAGATTGCCCTCAGCAGTCCTTCCTCTGAACTTCTCCTAGTTCCCGGAAGAGTTAGGCAGCCTGTGTGCACAGGAGAGAGAACACTCCCATGGCGACTGGCTGTTTGTGTGGGCATCTTCTCTACAAGCTCGTTGCCCACAGGCACTGAGTGTATGCTAAAAAAGAATGAGTCGAGTCACTGCCATGGAGTCAATCTCTAAAATAAAAAGGAAGCAACATTTTAGCAAGATCGGGGTGTGACAGTTCTGCTGAAGTATAAGAGAACTGGGTTTTTTGGTTATGGTTTTGTTTTTAGAAACAAGTTTATTACCATGTGCATAGTACACACACACAGGAGTACCCAGACGTGTGAGTAACTCCACGAACTAGTTTCCAGTTCTCCAGGCACATGTATGAGGGTTGTTGATGAAATTGCTGTTTCCTTCTTTCCTTTTTGAAGACATGAGAATATCTCTGGTTTCTTGTAGTACATGTAATTATTTACTATTTTAGTGTTGTAAATTTTCTACTTTTGTCCCAAATAATGTTTTTAAAGTGAAAATACAAGTGTGCATATAATTATGGTGTGTGTGTGTTATTGAAATATAAATCCTTGAAAAAAGGAGGGAGGGGACCTGGCTGGGGGAGAGAACCCTGGGATTTGTTGGGTGGTTACCTTTATATACCAGGCACTGTTCTGGATGCTCTCAGAACAGCCCTCAGAGACAGGGGACAGTATTGCCATGGCAGTGGTCAAGTCCAGGTTTTAAGTATTTAAGTGTCTTATCAGGGTCACAACTGTTAAATGCTGGGGAGGAACTCAAGCCTGTGTGTGACTGCAAACCTTAGGTTCTCATGAGCTGGGTTTGGGGTTTAGAACTTTATATAAAATTTAATGTTGTAAGAATCATATTTTTGGTTTTGTTCTAGGTATATGAAAAATTGCCAAGTAAAACTGTGACTGTAAAGTTAATGTAAAATTTTTATTAAGTTTGAGGAATCCTGTTTTAGGAGAAGAAACTTGTAAAAGTTTGTGTATTATTCAAGAGTACTGCCCCCTCACTGGCTATATTTCATTCTAGATTACCCATGCACCTGAAAGCACACTCTCAAATGTGCTGTGATGACAATATCAGAAACCCTTCCTAGGCAACTGCAAAGTCTGGGAAAATAAACTTTCTAGAGGGAGGTAAAAGAAGAAAGAAGATGCTTAGTGTGAAATGCCATCATGAGGTCAGATGCAGGCATGTGGCCACTAGGAGGTCTCCAATGGCAGTGCCAGAGCACAGAGCACAGGGTCCTGTCCACATGTGCCGAACAGGCTGCAGCAAAAACAAGCAGGATGGGAGTGGGGAGAGCAAATACAAGACATGTACTTTTTCTTTTTGTCCTTTTAAAAGCTAGGATGGGGGGGGGGTCCCCTGTATTCTAGTGTAAGAGGGAAAACTGGTCCTCAAAGACAAATTTCTTGCCCAGTCCACACATCTGCTGGCAAGCCCCATGGTTCTTCTCCCGTGCCACAATTTCCATAGAAGAAAAGAGAAAGATGTCTGAAAACAGGTCTAAAGAAAAACTGTTAATGATCTCTATTTGAGAAGAACTGCTTGTAAATGGAAACACAGTCCCGGCCCAGAGCACCTAGCATCACATGTGAGTGACTGAGGACCTGAGCAGTCAGTCCCTCAACTGTTTGTTACCCAGTTGTTTAGGTCCTGGAACAATGATTAACCCAAAAGCTGTGCTCTGGATTTGTATTTGCTGGAGAAACACAGGCTCCTCCCTCTGCTTTTCTCCTGCTATAACTCACATACAGGCATTCTCAGAGAGCTTTTTTTTTTTTTTTCCCCCCCAGTTAGAGTCAGGATGCTTTGTGTCTTGTACTGTTTTTTTCCAGATTGATTTTCTGATGTCCAATTGACACCTTCCATTGTGGTTGGAGCTTTGTGTGATCCTGTGTTCTTGTCAGGGTGCCTCTGCCAGATGCAGAGGTTATTGCTTCTGTTTTAGCTCCTGTTTAGTATGAACATGATTTCTTTCTTTTCTTCTCTCTGTCATTACTGTGGTCAAATGATTGTGCCCAAGCTGGGCACTGATAGGCCTGTGATGGTTAAGAGACAACTAACTAGTCCTAACCCATTTCTTCCCCTTCCCCTCCCCTCCCAGTTGCATTTCCCACCTGATGTCTTTGTGTCCTGTCTCTGCACTGCTGTCCTCTTCTGAATCTAAATCCATGCCCTTCCCTTGCAGGTATGATGAAGCCAGCAGGGCCTTTGGGGGCTGCACCCGGGGGCATGTTGCCTCAGGGCCCCCCACCTCCTGGGTCCCATCAATTTGGCCAGAATGGAGCTCATGCCCAGGGTCATCCTCCCCAAAGGTGAGTGAGATGGATTCCAGCCTTCATTTGTATAGAGCACTAGCATTGTCTCACAAGTCCCTTCTAAACTCGTGTGTTTATTGGTCAAAAGTTTGACCTCCTGATCTGGCCACATTCTTGAAAGGATCTACATCTTTTTGCCCTAGGATACAAAGCACTTAGAAAAGTTAGGAGGGGAAAAAACAATGCTAGTTAGAAATATATAAAAATCTCTGTGCCAGTACAGACATTTTACTCTTTGGTTATATTCATCTTATTTTAGAGTTCTGTATCAATCTCTCATTCCACAGATGTCTATGTCCAGTAGTCCCCAGTACAGTTTTAAATTCCCTTGTCTCTGGATTCCTTGATGGAACTGAGTACAGTACGAGCAGGTGCTTGATAAATATTTAAAAATTAAGTCAGATGCAGTGCAGGGTTGAGAGTGGATTTGCTGTCCAGGGAGGGACCCCTGAAAGGCAGGGTGGTAGTGAAAACAACACAGCAAGGAAATCTGGGCCTGTGTTTATAATTAAGGAAGAACACTTTGGAGGCAGCCTCGTGATGCCAAGTCTAAGAGGTATGGATGCTCTCAGCCCTGCATCCCACTTGGGACTGTCCCCTGGGAAGGGACCCATGCCACCTCTGCTGGAAACTCGTTATCCAGTGAGGTGTTGCTGTGAGAAGCTGGTGCCCAGTAGAGTGGGTTTATGTTTTAATTTCTCCAAGGCTTACCCAGAGGCTGCTATTTCTCAGCTTTCTTTCTGAGGTTGGTTAGGCTGCAAGGTTGGGGGGAGGAGGACCTGTGTGAATCTGGACCCTGTTGATGGTGAGTCCATTTAGTCACCTGGTCAAGGAACCTTTAGTCCCTGCTAGTGGGAAAACTTGCTGGAGTTTTAGAATCACAGCGTTAATCCTCTTATAGGGCACTGTGTGGTTGACATTTCCTGACTCTTGTTTGTCCCGATAACCTTTGCCATTGAAGTGGTAGCTGAGAGAGGCAGGTGAAGGTAAATACAGGAAATAGGATGAGTGTGACTGTGGTTTCAGTAAGGATCAGAAGTCAAAGGGCAGACCTGGGTCCTGTCCTGCCGCCCCTGGTGGGGCCCTGAGTGGGGAGCAGAAAGGCTGAGACCCAAAACCTCTTCTGGTTGAAGCATTAATTCCATGTGATGCTGGTGGCACTCCTGGGCCTCTAGGCCTCATTTTCCTCATGTGCAACATGGGGAAATAGAATTCTCCCTCCAGAGGAGCAGGGAGAAGATCTGCAAAAATGTATTGTCATGAATAGCCAAGCATCTCAGATGTTTGTTTTTTATCCCCACCCGAGAATATTTTTTCCATTGCTTTTCAGAGACAGTGGAAGGGGGGAGAGAGAAAGAGGAAGAGAAAGAAGGAGAAAGATCAATGTGAGAGAGACACATCTATTGGTTGCCTCAAGCACTCGCCCTACCGGGTGGGGGTTGCGCCTGCAGCCAAGGTACGTGCCCTTGGCCAGAATCGAACCCAAAACCCTTCAGTCCATGGGCTGACGCTCTAACCACTGAGCCAAACCGGCTAGGGCTCAGATATATATATTTATTTTTACAGAAGAAACGCAAAAATCAAATAGTTGCTTTGAAGTTAAGAGAAGGCTTGGGTCACTGGTGTTAGCCAGGATAGGACTGACCTTTTAGGTTCTGTCCATTTCTTTCACCTGAATTAGGTTCCTTGGGAATCAGGGAACCATGGACTCTGCCATCAAACAGACCCGTGTATGGCTGTGAGCTCAGCACATGCCTGGCTCTAAAGTCGGGACATGCTTGCTATCCTAGCTCAGGCAGTGACTTGTGGGCCAGGAACTTTACCTCGTGCCTCTCTTTCCTCATCACCCATGTAACAGTGTCAGTGTTGGTGAACATGAGAAGACTTGTGCAGCACGCAGTGCCCAGGCAGGGTTCCATGCGTGGCAGTGGCCGTCAGTGCCATTTCCACTGGTGGAGACATTTTCCTCCATAGCTTCAGTCCCTACTGGCCCAGGCCAGCCACTCGTGACAGTTTCATTTAGGAATCTGCTCTACCTGTGGTTCCCAGCCAAGCACCCATAGACTTTGCCCCTTCTCTTCCACCATTCTTCAACTTGAACTGTGAATGAAAGACTGGAAATGGGTGAAACATGAAAAGGTCAGGGAAGCCTCATGTTCAACCTAAGCCTCTGTGGTCACGAGGATGTTGCTACACGATTCACTTTGAGCTCACCTCAAGAACATGAAAGACTCAGCATAAATATGTCAGTTCCCTGATGCCCTCTAGATGGGCTCATTTAATTTTACAAGTTATTGATGTTTGTTGTATGCCATGTGTATATGAAACGCTACGATCTTGCTTAACATCCCTCTTTCTCTCTTAGATTTCCAGGTCCTCCACCTGTCAACAGTGGGGCACCCTCCTATGCCCCATATTCACCCGCTACACAGTCATCATATCCAAGTCCTGCGTCCACTTCATCCATCTCCCAGCTGGGCAGCCAGCTCAACACCATGCACATCAGCAGCTATGGTAACCTTGTCACTAGGAGGGCTCTTTGTCCGTTAGGAGCACTGTGAATAAGAAAGGGTTCTTCCTTTTCAAGAGACATAACTCTGGTACAGCATACCCAAGTAGTGTTTGGGACATTCTTATTATTTATCTGTATAGTGTATGGCTAGAATTATTTTTTCCCCTGACCATGCTGCCATGTATTTCAAGGTAATTGAAGGGCCCTCAGAATACCTTACTTTTTTTTAATACTAGAACAATAGAAAACAAAAAATACTGATGTCACAAACATTAGAACAGCAAAATTATTTTAAGAAACATGAGGGTAGTTTTAACCTTGTGTTATGTATTGGGGCCCTAAAATAAGAAATAGAATATTTGTTTCACAGAGCATTTTGATTTTGCATTTAGGTCTTAGGAAGAATTGGCGCTTAGATGCTGCGAGGCAGCAAGGACAGTAACTGGAGAGAAAACAGTGTCCTCAACAGAAATACTGGGTGTTCTGGGGGCCCAAGGACTTTCCTCTGTAATAACAGCACAGCCCGCCATTTATCTCATGAAGAATGTTTCCATTACTTAGCGTTAGCTTTTTAGAATTACCAGTAAAAAAAACCCCTCAGAATATTCCTATCTCTTACTGATTCCAAAATGGGTATAAGTCTCTAATGAAGCAACTCAATTTCACATAATCAGATAAAGGAAAAAATAATCTGGCTTTACAGCTCTTTCCAATATGATTGGAAAACGTGTTAGTGGCCCATCTGTTCTCCCTGTTCACTTCTACCTAGTTCTGAATCCACTTGATCAAGAAAATCACAGGGTGCAAATAACTTATCAACCATATAGGTTACCTTAATAATGCCTGTTACATAATAACATTTTCTTTTATATGACTGTCTAGATTTTGTACCAGATACGATTCCTTAATTAATGGCATATGTCAATATAAAGTTAATACAGTTGAGTTAAAATTTATCCTACTAATTTCCTCACTAAAATTATTAATGTTATCTTTACCTTTTTAAAATTTTCCAGTATAAAATGCCCCAAATAGCATCTGTATCACTTTCTGAGTAAAGGTTTCACCTTGTATCAGAGAAGAAAGTGTCATTTGTAAGGGTGCTTCCTGGCTTCATGTCAGGAAAGTGTCCCCATCGTGTCCTTGGCAGAAGTCAGAGGAGAAATGCAGTGTTTGGGTGACTGTTCTTCTTTCTCACACAGGTTCGGGCATGGCTCCTCCCGGCCAGGGGCCCCCAGGCTCCCTGTCTGCACCTTCGTGCCAGGGTCCTCCACGCCCTCCACAGCCATCTATTTTGCAGCCTGGGTCTCAGATTCTCCCACCACCTCCCACTGCACTAAACGGCCCTGGTGTACCACCCTTGCCTCCTAATCCCCAGCTGCAGCCTCCGCCTCTTCCAGGACAGACCCTGGGCACCGGATACCCACCACAGCAGGGTAAGGTGTGAAGGGCTCAGAGCAAGGTCTGGGTTACCTAGGGCTGCCCTTACTGGGAAATCAGCTTTTCTCCTGTTACTGGGCACCTGCCATTCACTTTTAAGGAAGGGAACTTTTTAAATAGTGTGACAACTACAAAGAAAGGGATGGAATGGTCAGGTGTAGCTCCCTGTCCATGTGAAGGATGAAAAACGCAACATGCTTGACTGAACAGCATGACATTGTCCATGAGCCCCACATCTAGGATTTGGGTTATAGTCATTTGTAAAAATTTTTCCGAACAGCCAACTATGGCCCCCAGATGCCTGGTGCGCAGCTCGGGTACCCAGGAGGCTTCCCCGGAGGGCCTGCGCAGATGACTGGTCCACCCCCACCCCAGAGGAAGCTGGATCCTGACTCTGTGCCCAGCCCAGTAAGTGCCCTTCTCACTTCTCAGTCTCCCTCACAAAGGGCCACTCTGCTCTCATTGTTCCCAGACACTCCCCAGTGGGTTGGCATCTACCCCGTCTCTTAGATGGAAGCACAGTGCCGACCACATAGAGAAGGCGTCCTTTCTTGTATGTGTTTGGGGCACAGGGTTATGGCACACTGGGCAATCCATGAGAAAAGCGGCTCATGTAGAGTTTTCTTTGATATTCTATGAACTTTCAGTATCTACTGATGTTTATATTGCCATATATTGGCAGTATTTATTAATGTTCAATGAATCAGTAGTAGTAAGAGTGTATCCTATATAAACATGCAATTTTAAATAACTTAAGGACCTTTTTCAATAAGAGTAAGATCCCTGTGGAGTGTGAAAGTACAAAGTATATTATATTTTGCATATTAAAAACTAAAATTGTTTAATATATGATTAGAGCTATAACTTAACTCTTCTCCACCCAAGTGGAGAACTATGCTAGGAACTGTATCAGTCAGCTTTCATTAGGTTACTCTGCATAACAAACAATCCCCAACTCTGCTTACAACTACAGAGATTTATTGTCGCCTAAATTGCCTGTAGGCTGCAGCAGCTGCAGTTTGTTCTGTGCCCTTGTTCCAGAAACCAGGGTGAAGGGACACCTCATTGGTGATATGTTATTTTATGACAAAGGAAGAAAAGGAAGAGAACTGAAAGGGTACAACAGCTGTTAGAGCTTCCGCTAGACGAGTACCCAGGACAGCCCCTCAGCATCAGCTGGGAGCTGTTAGTGATCTGTGTTCTCAGCTGCACCCAGACCTACTGAATCCAGATCTCTAGGGGCTGGGATTTGTGCTCTTGCAAGCTCTCCAGTGATCCTCAGGCACACTGATGTTTGAGAAGCAGCTCCCTCAGTGATTCTATCCTCGTAGCTGTAAATAAGAACTCGGATAATGCCTAGTCAAGACCTTTCCCTGAAACCAAATTCTAACCCCATTCTTCCAGTTTCTTGGCCAAAAACCTTGATTCTCTTTCTCACTCGCCTCACAGTTAGTCCTTTGGCTAATTCTCTCGGTCCTGGTCCTGTTGTTCTGGTGCCCCTGATGTCCCAACCTCTCCCTCCTCCACCTGGGTTACTGGCAGAACCTCCTGTTGACCAGGGCATGATAGGTAGCGGCATTCCCATGCTTGTCAAATGAATGAGTGAACATTAATAACGAAAGCAAGAGCAGTATATGCCATGATTCATCCTAGACATTAAAATACATACATAAAAATCAGTCCAGTGTTATTTGTACCTTAAAAGTAATAAAGTAGCAATACCAAGTGGAGCCTGTTTATGTTCCTATCACCAAAGTAACATGCTTTGCTAACTAACTAAATTATTCTTTTGGAAAGAAAGGTATAAAATCGTGTTCACTGAACTCCTGTTACACAGCAGTCTGAGCTAGTGCTTAGTGCCCACAACCCTTTGGGTGGGCTTCTGTCCATCTTTGAAAAGCGAGGACACTGGTCTCCTCCCCAAGATTCTCCCTCTGTGTCTACAGGAGCTCAGACCTGAGCTCTCCTGTCCTCTTTCTCCCAAGTTCACATCTGTCCTCCACAGCCCACCCGAGACACACCCCTTCTATCCTGTGCCTTGTTCATTTATCCCTAGAGAATCTTCTTTTTTTCTCTTTCCTGATTCTGTTTTATGAACCCAGAACACTCTATTTGTAGCAGATAAGTGTGAAAGTAATTCTTGTGGCTTCTCTTCTGAAGGGAAATGCCATCTACATGTGTTGAGGTTGGTTTGGCATTGTCAGGAGTCACTGTCACTAAATCGAAGCACCTAGTCACACTCAGAATCTCTATTGAAATTTCTGTTAATAAGTCTTATCTTTAAGCCTGTTTTCTGAGAATATGCATTTGAGGTAAATTTTAAAAGCTGTAATATTTTTTTTTAAATTACAGAACTGTTATAGTATTTCCTGCTCTCTTTGTGTATTCCAGCCAGTATATAGATGAATTTAGAAATGTAATTATCATGTATAATATCCTTTCTTTGGAGCCAGTGCTTTATAAGTTGCAAGTGGCTAATTTAAAGTCAACTTTTTGGAAATAATCTATTAGAAGACTAAGAACTATCTATGTTCAACATATTGATGATCATGATTTTTATTTTACTTTCATGTTTGAGACTTCATTGGGGAAATGATTACAATAAATGTTGAGAATATAAAACCTATTCCAGTATTGAATGAACCAGATTATTGTTGAGCTATAGAAAGTGTGGCTGAAATATAGAATGTAATTATAGTGTTTTGATTATCCTGCTTGTTGCTTGTCTCTGCCCATGCTAGCATTAGTCTCATCTGTGTTTTATGATAATATTATTTGGAGCATATTCTGTATCTTTAATTTAATTGGAACCCTATGATTTGAGTTAGAGAAACAGAATGTATAAACTTAATGGCAGGCAGAACCATTGTCCAATATGCCATCAGACCGATGGTGTCAGTGCCAGCCCAGCCTGGTGGAGTGAGATGGGGGAAATGGACAGGGCAGCATTTCAGAGTTTGGGGGAAGACAGTTTATTATTGTGAATAGTTTCTTTTGGAACGTAAAAAAACTACGTATCTTCCAAAGCTACATACTTCAGTTTGACACTTGTTTCCTTTCTTCTATTTTCCCTCTCTTTTCCTCTCTTCTTTGTCTAATCCCTGGTCTCTTTTATCCTGTGAAGGAAGAAGGAAAACAGGGAGAAGATAGAGGAAAGAAGTCTTAGGATTCCTTCTCATTTCTTCTAGCTCTGCACACTAGATCCTGCTCATTATTTTCACCCCTAAGCTCACAACAGAAAGACAATTTTTGTCTCTCAATTTTTCATCAATAAGTGTTTTCTTAGAGAAAGGTCAGATGTTTCCAATGAAATGACACAACTTAGGGACTTGTGTTCTGTTCTGACTTGTGTGCCCTGGGAACCCCACCTGGGACACTGTGCTGTTCTCATGTCTCAGGGAGCAGGTGTGCATGGGGGGTGAGGGTGCGTATGTGGAACCAGAGGATGCTGAAGACCAAGCAGGATTTGAAGAGGAAGTTAAGCCTTGTTTAGGTTGTATGTTGTAAATAATTTTTCTAAATTCAATCACTTTTAGCCTTTTAGAACTTTCTTTAACTGCAAAAAGTATTTTCTTTAAAAAGGTTATTTTCAATTTATTTTCCTACCAGATTTTAAAAAATGCTTATCTATGGTCCCAATAAACAAATTGAATAAAAATAAACTTCTCTGAAGGATTGGGTCTGAGCTCAGGGTACTAAGAATAGAGTTTGGAAGCTACTAGTTTGACATTGTGACAGTGCACAGTGGTGGGACGCATGCCGTGGTGGTTTCTGTGGGAATTTGCTCTGAAGTGAGCTGAAGGTATAGAAAGTGCCCCTGTTTATGTGAGGAATGAGGGGGGGCGAGCATGTTGAAAAGACTTGACTTTAACTCGCTCTTGCTGTCTTCTTGATCAGATCCAGGTGATTGAGAATGACCGAGCCACCAGAGGGGGACAGGTCTATGCCACCAGCACCAGAGGCCAGGTCCCTCCCCTGGTCACCACAGACTGCGTGGTACAAGATCAAGGTATTTACTTTCAACAATTTTGATTGAGGTTTTATAATTTCGCACTATTATTTTTCATTTCATACACTGATACCCTTCAGTAATGCCTTCACTGATGTGGAATGCTCTTATAGTTGATTCTGTAAATACTTGTCTGCATATCTGCAGAGCATTGGTAGAGGACAGGGGCTCGGTGGTCTGGCTACATCACTCTCTATACATGTGACCTGAGTTGGTACTTAAGCTCTCCAAGCCTCAGTTTCCCCATACAATGCTGGTGCTCACCACAGGGTGCACTGTGAGAACGAAATCATACAGAACATAGAAAGCATTGAGCACAGAGCATCTCACGTAGTCAGTCTGCCATTAGTCGCTCAAGTACAGACAAGGAGCTGTCAGCCGAAGTGTCTAGTTTCTGATGAGGAGCCATGCAACAACATACAGTCTCAGAAGATTCTGTACTCTCACTGATGGGTGTGTATTAGCTTGTACCCTCCTTTGTCCCTTTATTTACTACACTGGGGACCTGGCAGGGCGGCATGAACAGAGCAGCAGGGGTTTGAATACTGGAGATGTCGGCAGACCACGTTCAGGCCCCAGCAACATCTTTTCAACAGGTGCTCTAACATTCTGGGTCTGGTTTCCCTCCTTCCAGCTAGGATGAGGCACAGGTGAGCATTGTCACTGACTCTGCCCCATGCCTACTGTCACTTTAATCCACCTGTCAGATCGGACACCTCAGATTCTGGATATACTGTTTGAATGAGTCATGTACTCAAACCTAGAAGTGTAATGTCAGTGTGTGAACAAGCGTTTTGTGTCATTTTAGAGTTGTGGAGCCAGCCAGGTTCTAGTCTGGGGGGTGTCCCCTCCTCCTGAGTCCATCCTCTGAGCTGTCCTCAGTGCTGTCCCTACAGAGCAGGCAGGGCAGAGGGGCTTTGTAGGGAGCCTCCCACACCTGCATGCCCCACACACCTGCACACAGATCCAGGCTCCTACCTACTGCCTGCTGAGCTTTGCTCCTCTCCCTCTCTGTACCTCAGAGCTGCCCACCCTCAGTAACAAGTGAGGACTAACAGCTACCCCAGGTGCCTGCCTGGGAAACCCCTTGCCTCCTTGGAGTCTAAGGCCTCCTCTGTGACTGTTTAAAACTACAGTCTGTCTTCCTGAACCATGTGTGTTTTTCCATGGCATTTCTCATCTAATGCCACATACTGCACCCTTTGTTAGGGTTAATAATTGTCTATGGGCTCTGTAGGGACAGTGCCTAACACTTAGTGGACACTCAATAAATATTTGTTTGAGGATTACATTCTTTTGATTATAATATATTATAGGTTTTAATTATAGTTTAATTTCAAAATTTATTTTAGGTAAGTTTTTCTAGAGATTCAAAGTACTTTTCATGCCATGGATAGTGTTTTAATACTCATGTATGCCATGAAGTAAATATAATTGGTTAGGAAACACAATGTGTATTAAAAATAGATTATAGTCTTTCACAAAATATTCCTGTTACAAGTAGAATTTTCATTTCTAGATTAAATTTTCAAATTTTAAACTAACACTGTCAAATGGAATCGCAGTTGACAGAGCATCACCTGCTGATGTGTCAGGGTGTCCAGATGCTCAGCTTTCCCTCAGCAGAGGAGCTGACAGAAGACAGGGAAGGAGTGCTGTGCTCTCATGTTCCTGTGCTTTGCTTCATTTCTTCCATTGACTTAAACACCTTTCAGGTCTGCAACTTGGCTGTGTTAATCACCTGCTCATGGGAAATGACAACGATGAAAACATCCCTTTCATATTGAGTGTTGTATTGTGGGAGAAATGGCAGTGTGCCTAGAGGATAGATGGTAGAATTGCACAGCACTACTTTATTTTTAGGAATCATGAAGAACATTTTACAAATAAGGCAATGCATTATCCAGAAGCACCTCACAAATGTTTAAATGTTACCAGGCAGGTTTTTCAAAGCAGATTTTCAGTGTGTCTCTGACTGTTTCAGGCAATGCCAGTCCTCGGTACATCCGCTGCACAACATACTGTTTCCCTTGCACGTCAGACATGGCCAAGCAGGCTCAGATCCCCTTAGCCGCTGTCATCACGCCCTTCGCCACAGTTCCTTCAAACGAGGTAAGAGTCCTGAAGGTAGCAGATCAGTAACTTGCCAGTTCCAAAATCTGCCTGCAGCATCGTTTTCTTATACATTATTTTGTATTGTAAACAGAAAATGAGCATATAATGCAAAAACATGTAGTCATTCAATTTGTTAAGGAAACAACAATCTGACAAGCTAGGTTTTTGGCATCCTGTATACCAAACCCTGATGGACTGGGTCACTTTCTGGCCTGTTGGAACAATGCATGTAAATACCATGCCCTCTTGTGAGGCCCTTAGCCCCTAGGTCAGGGCCCTGATGTCTAGGTGTTCTGGTGAAGGGAGATAACAGAGCCCAAGGTCCTTGGTCTTACTGCACCTACTTTACCAATCACTGGACCAAACGCCCATCAACTCCTACTCAGAGCAGGTACATTGTATGTCTCAGCTTGGTCAGATGTCCTCAGTACATGGGCAAGTGAGGAAAGGACAAAAGGGGGATGATTTAGAGATTCTGCACTAGGGTGCTCTCAGTGGGTATTATGGCCAGCACATCCACCTTGCACAGCCCTCATTCCTCCTGCTGTGCTCCTGAGTGGTGGATGCCCACCTGCTCACAGAGACATAGGCACTAGAGCAGGGCTGGTCAGGTGGGAGGGGAGAATGGCTGTACTTACGACTGGAGCTCTGATGAGGACCCCATTGCAGTGGTCCCTTGAACTAGGCTGAACCTGAGGTTCCTTTTGCTGTGCTAAAGGACAAAGTCCCAGATTCCCTTCCCAGTTTATACCTCTGCTTGTCTGTAATGGTCTTTGGGAGGATGCTGATCTGTTGTGTACCCAGTAGCACCTGAGAAGAGGCAGGGCATCTGTGAGAGAGAACAGATTTGTACCTGTCTTGGGGGGCCATGCTGGCTAGTGTGGGGGTACAGTGGCTTGGGGAAAGGGGGAGGGGTCTGCTTTATGTCACTTCAGTGAAGAAAGAGAACAGAGATGGGTACATGTGGACAGTGGCTTTCATCCCCTTTAGGATGTCCCCTCACTCTCCTGTGAGTGTGGGAGAGCATTGCCATCCTTCCTTTTTGGGAGTCAAGTGGATTGGGTGTGCATTGGGCATAGAGGAGGCATTGGGCTGTTCCTAGAAGCCAGTCTTCCATGCAGAGTACTATCAGGACTGACTTAATGTAATGCTCCCAAACTCCTCTGTAAAATCACTGTGCTTGGTAAGATAAAGTAGACCGATCTGTAACGACAAAGAGAGCGTGCTATATATGATATGTGTGTGTTTTCCATAATAAGACGTTGAAAATAGCTAGCTAAAATAGCTAGTTGTTATGAAAACTTTCAAACATACAGAAAATTTGAAAGAATTTTCTAGTGAACACCCATATACCTGCCACCTAGGTTCTACCATTAACATTTAACCGTATGTGTTTGATCACATATTACTCATCTGTCCATCAACCCGTCTTTTTAAAATGTATTTCAAAGTAAATTGGAGGTATCAGTACACTTCCCTGTAAATACTCCAGCAGATACACCATTAACCAGAGTTTCATGTTTGATCATAGATTATTTTTCCTTTTGAGGCAAAATTCACTTACAATGAAATGCACATATCTTAAGTAAAGGTTTCACTGAATTTCATCAGATGCATACACCTGTGTAAGCCAAACCCCTAGTAAGATGTGGAGTATTACTGCCACCCTCATGCCTTTCCCAGCCTGCCTCCCACCCCTCCCCCTGGCCTCCTCCTCTGACAGCTGTGGTTCTGATTTGTCCTCCATAGATCTGTTTCCTAGTGAGGTCTTCAGGTAAGCAGACTTCTAGGGTATGGGCTCTCTGAGTAAGTTTCTCTCACTCAGCAGATGTAACAGAGAGCATGGTGATGGTGCATGTGGGGTGGCCTTTCCTTCCTCATTGCTGACTAGTGTTTCATTGTGTGGCTATACTGGTTTATCTACTCCTTCACAAGGGACATCTGGGCCTTTTCCAGTTTTGGGCTATTGTGAACGTAGCTCCTATCGATATTCTTGTACAAGTCTTTCTGTGGACATATATTCATTTCTCTTGGATTAGTACCTGTGAGTGGATTGCTAGCTTATGGGTACATGTTTATTCAGTTCTATCATTTTCCAAAGTGGCTGCACCATTTACACAGTTTGAATAGCATTTTAACTTATTTTTGTCTATGTTAAATGACTTGCTTATTTTTATGTATAGTAAAATTTTAGGATTTTATTTCTTATCTGACTAATATTGCCATTATCACTTCAATTTAGAAAAAGATATCCTTGAAGATTTCCTGATTTGGCATCAATCAAAAGGATTTATTTAGTATATTACAGTTTTCTTTTAAAAAATTGATTCCATTGTTTAACAGAACCTTTTAAAGCATGTCATTGTGTTAGTAACGCCTATAAAAATAAACCTCACCCACTGGTTATGATCTGAGAATGTTCCTTACGAGCATTTGCCTTGGAGATGTATGCTATTGCTAAGTGATATCTTATGTCTTCAGGTTTAATAGTCCATTTCCCTTAAATTTTAATTTTTTTTGTATGTGTTTTAAATGAAATCCATTGCCACATTTAATATAATTAACTAGGAAATACTTATTCAGCATAAGTAATTGGCTAGCCTGTAAGCTCCTTTGTTTCGTAACTGCGATTTTATCTCTGATGCTGTATTTTAAGAATTGAGGTAGAAACGGTATAGATTTCCAGTGCAGAGGAGTGAAGATTATACTTAATTTTGCATTTCCTTTAAAATGGGAAATCTTTACACTTTGGACAGTTGCCTACATCTAATTATACATGAAATTGAGTAATATCACCTATAAACCAGATGGCAGAAGCTTTAACTCCATCTGTGACTAGATTTAGGAATATCTGCATATATATTTTTAGATTACAAATGGACATCATAGTCAAAGTAATTTCCTTTCATATTGAATTAGTTTAGTGCAGAGTACAGATACTCTTTTACCTAAGACTTTATTTATTTATTTATTTATTTATTTATATCTTTATTGATTTCAGAGAGAGGAAGGGAGAGAGAGAGAGAAATATCAGTAATGAAAGTTACCGATCGGCTACCTCCCTCATGCCCAGGCTGGGGATTGAGCCCGCAACCTGGGCATGTGCCCCAAACAGGAATCCAGCGATCTCCTGGATTATAGGTTGATGCTCAACCACTGAGCCACGCTGGCCTGGCTTACCCAAGACTTTAAATTTCACTTGGTCCTTTCCTTATTCTCTGCTGGAAACCGAGGTGGACTTTAGAGAGTTCCTCTTGTCCAGGACTTAGAAAATGTGGGGGTACATAATTCATTTTTGTCCAGTGTGAGAAAGGCTCTGATGAGGATACCCTCAGCTGTGGTTCAGGTCGCCTTAGTTACGACTTAATGAATAGACATTTGTCCTATTATTAAATACCGTTTAAATTCTTTTTCCTTAATGATTGTTCCTATTCAGATAGAATCAGTGCCATTGGAAAGAAAAAGGAATGGATGTCAAATAACTTGATGGATGGGGTTAACAAAAAAAGCAAAGGCTGTCAGAGAATAAACTCACCCCAACTCATTCCATGGGGGGGCTTTCGGTCCCTTCCATCACCTGCAGAGGGTGGCTTGCTTGTTTCCTGACTCCTCGGCCAAGCTGGCTGACACAAGTCCATCTAGTTCTGGCAGAGCTCACACTGCTGCTTAACGCATCTAAGAACGAGATTCTGTAGCACTGGAGTGTTTTGTCTGCGCATCCTTCATCCTTCTCTTAGGAAGATGGCAGCTTGCGAAGTTGTGTTAACAGGTTTTGTAGAGGTAGCAACTCTACGGACAGCTAGTGATGCTGCTGGCACTCAAAGTCCAAATTCCAAGTTCCCTCTACATCTGGCTGTGAATAAGCTGGTTGAGCTTCTATTTGGATAAACACATGGAATGTCATTCATTCTTCCTGCTGGCAGTAGTTCTAGCAGTGGACCTTGTGCTCCCACAAGCTTGTGAGCTGTCTCAAAGTGGTCTACTCCTGGAAGGCCAAGAACATCCAGAACCTGGCATGGGCTGGGCACATAGTACATAGGGGTCCTGGTTGAGTAAATGCACTCATCACAGTCAGATAGACATTTAAAAGGCAAAGATAAACCAAACTACGAGTGCTGGCTGATTTCTAGGTGTTTTAGGCCTCTTAATATCTTCAGCACAGTAAGTCTTAATCATTAGCTTCCTCAGCAGCAGTTGGGTCTGTTGATAAACATGTCGCTAATGAAGGAAACGTCCCATTTTGGCTGTTTTGTTTCATAGTTTTATTCTTTTTTTTTTTTAAACATTATCTTTATTGATTTTAGAGAGAGGAAAGGAGAGGGAGAGAGAGATAGAAACATCAATGATGAGAGCATCACTGATCAGCTGCCTCCTGCACTCCCCTGACTGGGAATCGAGCCCACAGCCCGGACATGTGCCCTGACCAGGAATCGAACCCCGATCGCCTGGATCCTAGGTCGATGCTCAACTGCTAAGCCACTCCCGGCTGAGCTGTTTCATGCTTTTAAAGGACTGCAACTCATGGCCATTCGCCTCTCCAGTTTTGTGGGCAAAGAAAAAAAATCATCTGAGAGATCACAGCTGTGTTCTACAGCATATTTATGAGAGAGGTTATATTNCTCCCGGCTGAGCTGTTTCATACTTTTAAAGGACTGCAACTCATGGTCATTCGCCTCTCCAGTTTTGTGGGCAAAGAAAAAAAATCATCTGAGAGATCACAGCTGTGTTCTACAGCATATTTATGAGAGAGGTTATATTATAAGAGCAGAATGCAAAGAACAAAGGAGTTTTGATCATATAAAGATATTTCAGAAACCAATAAAAATAGACTACTTTCAGCCAGGAAAGTGACTTTAGCTGGGTCTGCACTGGGCCTGTACTGTGACCTCAGGCCTCCATTGCCAAGAGGGAGACTTCTGGCTCTGATGTACTATAAACCTAGGAGTGATACATGCATGTCTAGTGTCTACCTTACTCTTTCACTCTTTGTGGGGCAT